AAAACAACGTCCTACCTCGGGGAACCGAGTCTCTGGACGCAAAACGAAGATTGATTGATTGTATTTGTTTCTTCAGTTTTGTTTAAGTTTTTAAATACTTATTTTGTTCAAAGTTATTTCATAAATCTACAGTTAACTGTGATGAAGATGGTTAAAAATGGTTAAAAATTAACATGGTTAAAAATTAACAGCAACATTAAAAGATAGCAAACATAAAGATTTGGTTTTTAATGATGTCACTGATTTTTTCGCTTTTTGTCATTTATCTGGTTTCAGCATATTTAGATGGTAGGGAAACAAAGAGTATGATAAAACCGTGACGAACTAATGCGTTGGTATCGTTTATTTAATAACTTTTCCCATCTTTGCATAACCGAGTGCCTACAAAACATTTTTGCATTCTCAAGTAATTATGCTTTAGTCATTCTTTGCCGTTTTGTCCTCCTGACTCGATTTATAGTTGCATTTAAAAAGAAATTTTTCTGCATCATTAATCACATTTTCTTTTCACGTCAGAAAAGATTTGCGACTACTTTATTCTTTTGTTTTCCATTTTCAGCACTCGCCCAATCTATTATATAATTGTTTTTCCAAACGGCAAACGGTGTAATATATTTTACAGTTCTACTCGTTCCTTTGTTGTCAGTGCCAAAGGCAAGACTTGCTCTTATAAAAATCATTCTGCTTTTTATAAAAATCTGGCATTACTTTCCACTCTCATTATTAAATTATGGGAAACACCTAAATTACTCTAAATTTCAACCATCGTTTTTACTACTATTTCAGCTTTTGAAGCTTTAAAATCTTCACTGTTTTAATCAAGAAACCTTTTTGTTATACACAATTGTGATTGGCAAACAAAATTCAATTAATAATGGTATCTGTCATTTGATTACTTTTTAGCGTGTTTCGTTAACTTTTTGTAGCTTTTCAAGCATGATAACTCGACATGATCTGACCTGCTTCTTGTCCGTTTTTAATTTTGATCATTCTTTACCATTAATACCAAATCTCAACCCCAAAATATGCAAAATCTTTTTTACGGTCACTGGCGGATCTAGGGGCTGGGGGCCAGTGCCTCCCCATTGTGAGCAGTATTTTAAGTCAATAAAATTCACTGTTTAAACAGGAGAAAGAACAAAAATGGACGTGTAAGCAAAAAAGGTCGTCGTCAGCCACACTACCAAATATCTTGGTCAATATTTTGGCCCCAACGTGAAAATTTAAACATTTCAAAAATTTTGGGCTCTCCTTCAAAGTTGACGATGACAATAATTTTTTGGTGAGCGATGTGACATATTGTAACTTTTGTTCACATCTGACTTTTTATTTAATATTTAATGCATTCTGAATATCTAACTGAGGTGAGAAAATCAACAACATGTTTAACACATGTTTTCGTCATACTCATGACGTTACAATTGTGTTTGTATTTGTTAGTCGTTTTGAAATCTGAAATTTTATATTAATTGCATTATTAGTTTCGTTAATGTTAAGCACAATGAAATAAATATAAACTCATTTATTATCATGTTCTTTTTTAACTTTGAATGTTGTACAGCATGGAGTGTTTTCTATTTCGCTGTTTGCACCTTCCTGTAAAGTTAAATATGATGGTATTTACTTTCAAGAACATTGTAATTTAGGTTACTGTGCTGTAGGCAATTCTTCACGGTTCCGGTTCATTGTTAAAAATGGAAGGTTTGTATATAATTAAACTAAACTCTGATTGTTATTTTATGACCCGTTATTATAGCAATTTTTAATTGTTAAAATTTAGTTATTATTAAACAATCTGCTCTGGCAACTTTGCAACGAAAGTAAATATCTTGGAGTGACAAAAATTAGCCTATTTCAGCTGATCACGCTTCCACTAAACTTTTTAAACAATCTCGAAAACTATGACAGTTCGGTTCTACTTTGTATTTACTTGTTAATTTATTGAATCATCATGCGTGCGTTGCTTCACGTCTTAGTAGTTAGTAGTATCAATCTGAACGGTTTTTAAACACATAATCAGTAGACGTGGGCGTCCCAATCCATGTACGACAAGTTTCCGATTTTGGGAATTAATTTTTTCAGCACCAGTGCCAATCACAATTTGTCAAATTTTGCGTTGTACCGATTATTTCCCAATGTATCGATCACTTTTCGATAGTTTTCGAATGATCCCTGACCCAATAATTTTTCAATGTCTTCATAAGCTTCTGATAATTTCAGAGTGGATCATTCGGCTTATCTAAATGGAAATTGAAATCTCCACAAATAAGTGTATTAGAAAACATCATTGTAACTTGTTCCAAGACGGATGACATTTCTTGAAAAAATTGATTGTACTTGCATTAAACTTGAACGATAAACAGTCATTATAATTAAACTAAATTTTTCAACGAAGATTTTTACTACCACCGTTTTATAACATTGTAATTTCGGTATATCAATTCTAACAGTTTTAAAAACAGACCCGAAGTAAATGACCAAATTTTCTGACGTAATCTACAGTTATAACCAAGTGGCATTGCCTGTTTAACAGATAAATCATCAAATAATTTATGCCAGGTTTCCGCCAACGATAGCACATTATAACATCCGGCAATCTAATCAACTACATCTCTTTTTGGTATCAGTGACCAAACATTTCAGAAAGCTCATTTAAAGTTCATGGGCTGCCATCAGGGGGTGTAATGTCCTTAATTTTTCCGACGCCTTGCGTCGCGCACATAAACACACACAACACGCACACACACACACAGCACACACGCACGCACACCTTAGGCCAGGGTTTTGTTTCGTAGGGGTTCGAAAAACATTGTTTTTTTTGACGAGTTCAAACTCTGAAAAACTTATAAATATAGCAACAGAAGAATAAAAATGGAAAAACACTATCAAAATACAAATGTATCAATATATATGCAATAAACTATTATTTTTTATTATAAAAATTTAATTATCAATAACATACAACTTAATTTATAAAAAAATTTTCAAACTGAATATATCCTGCATCTAAATTTAAATTACAGTGAACGCTTATTAAAACTAGTCCATTTAACATAATTTCGGATGTGGTGTTTCTTAGATTTTTATTTTATTTTTTATTTTGATTCTTTAAAAATGCTTAAACCTTTGTAAACCAGAAAATGATTTTACCGACGTGGCAGTTTGACACTGGTAAAATTGCCAAAATTTGAAGTAGAGTATATATATATTTATATGGTTTTTAATTAGCGCTTTATATAAATTTAAATTTATCATAATAATAATAATAATAATAATAATAATAATAATAATAATAATAATAATAATGGTTACATATTTTTATCACAAATCTTAGGTGTACTAAAGCGGATTTAGAAATGATGTTTTGGAAGCCAAACTAGTCTTGTATGCTGAAGTCTCTTTCAAGCCTTTACACAATTTTATTATTTACATAAAGAAACAAATAAAAATAAATGACCTACAAATAAACAAAAGATAATTAAACGAAATTAAACGTAACTGAATTAAATTGGAGTAAAAAATGCGGAGCGTGTCACGAATTGTTTATCCAGACATTTTCCACAATCTTTGCATACTTTCGAGATTAAATGAACAAACTAGAAATTTTATGTTTTCTCAAAAATTGTACCAGCTTGCTTTGCAAAAATAAAATCAAACTTTATCTCGCCCCCTTGAGTTAGCGCATTTACTCCATAATGCACACAATTAGAATGTACACCTACACGCATACGCATATGAACAGTAAGACATACCCATGCATTTGAAAATAACATCCACCTACATCCATGAGTTTGTCATAGGTAACCATTACCATTATTAATTTTATTATTAATGGCAAACTTTCATTGCGCCAGATGTTACTATTACCATTACCGTCGGAAACGTCATGGACGTTGAAGCTTGAATTCCAACCATGAACATGCCCTATTTTTTATTGTTGTAACAATATTTTAAAGTTGCCAATATGTCGCAAGAAGTACAATTAAAGAAATGTTTTTTTTTAAGAATATCAATTTAAAAAAAAATATTTTTAAAAAATTTTTAAATATTTTTTAGCAGTGGCAAAATCAAACATAAAAACATAAAAGAAATCAAGTTGTATATTTTATTTTATTTCTGAGAGAGGTTGGAAACTCGAACCGAACCTTTCCCACGCCCATGACACACACACACACACACACACACACACACACACACACACACACACACACACACACACACACACACACACACACATTCATTCATATATCTAAATTATCTAAATTATATTTGTTTCTTGCTTGCGTTTTTGGGTCTTGAAAAAAGCAAGCATATACGCAAGCATAATAGTAATGTGTGTGTGTGTATATATATATATATATATATATATATATATATATATATATATATATATATATATATATATATATATATATTTATATATATAAATTTTGCGTCATACCCGGTTTTAAAAAAAATTGAAAAGTATCCGAAAACGTTTTGCTCTCCACAATAATTTTAATAATGAATTTGAAAGACTGCCGATAGTATATATAGACTCCAATCATCTTGACATTATAAGCCAGCTGTTTTTTTTTAAATTTTTTTAACATAAAAGCAAATTTTAAAATATCGTTCTGCTATTTTGAAACAAAGCTATTATTTTACAAAATTATATCTATATATTCAAACATTACAAATCTGATTAAAATAGTTTATTAAATTTTTATTTTTTGTCATTTTTGAATTTTCAAAATTGATTTGCTCTTCAAGTTTTGTTTGCTCTTTAGGTCATATTATATTAACAATTGCAATTATTGTTTTTATATCCAAGTTGTCATTTAAAATAACACTTTAAATTATGAATTAAATTGTAGCGAATCGAATACCAAAGTCCAGATATTGAATATTTCCCCGTTTATATTTGATCCTGATTCATTCATTATAGAAAATAATTGTGCTTTTCAATGCACACTATATTTTCAACCTAAGGTTAGTTTGTTCAAAATTTATCAAATTTAATGTCAAATATCATTGAGATCAAGGTTTGTTCAGAAACGTCAAATTTTTGTGCGATACCGTTAGCCCGTATCTCAGAGTCTATCTGTCACATGCCATGCATATGCAAAGAAGTGCTTGCGCGTTTATTCGAAAAGTGTATGCATGTAACAACTGGTTAATGTGTTTTGTTTGAAACTGTTGGACATGGTAAATTTAAATTAGTTTCAATGAATCATCGTTAAGCGTCCAGAGACCCAGTTCTCCAGCAATCCCATCACTAGGTGCCATCAATTTTTTGCGCCAAATTAGGCGATCAGTTGTATCCATTTCATTTAAATTTAGAGCTTTCATGTCTTGCTCGATTGTTTGCGACCAGGACTTTTTGGACGGCTTTTGGGACGTGTGCCAGGTACTTCAACATCTGCAAGAGAAGTTATGGCACTGTTTCCACTTCGCTTGACATGACCAAACCACCGCAGACGGTGTTGCCGGCATTCGTCCTTTATATCATCTAAACCAGCACGACGCAGGATTTTGGTGGATTTGATGTGGTCCTTCAGACTAATTCGTTGCATCCATCGGAGCATTTTCATGTCGGTTCGGTGAAGTTGTTGTTCCAGTTTGGTTGTCATTGACCATGTTTCTGCACCATATAACAACACCGGACGTATCACAGATTTATAAAGTCTTGATCGTAGTGGCAGTGGGATGTCACGCCGCATCAATATAGAGGCAAGGATATGCCATTTATTCCAGGCTGCACGTATGCGTGCTCGAACGGCAGCTTCAGCTGTTCCAGTACAATCCAGAACATCCCCTAGATATTGAAACGATGTGACTTTTTCTACCTTAATGACTTCAAAAACATTGCTATTTCGAATTTGTTGTTGTGGACTGATGCAAGCAGGACAAACAAAATTGGACACTTTAGATAAAGTAGCAATTATTTTTGAGCAACGTTTGTGACACCTCTGGTTACACTGCTGACACCTGATTGAATTGTTACCTACACCAGTACGATTTGTTTGTTTTGCTATACGATACAGAGATTTCATTTGTTCACCTTTGCTCTTAGTGAGCCACTCTCTGCACTGATCTGTCCGAGCTAGTGCGACTTGACGTCTTGCATATTTGTTCTTCTCACGGAAAATTTTATGGTCATCAACAGACTTTGATTTTTGCCATTGCTTGTATGCAGTTTTCATTTCAGCTATTGCATTTTGTACACTGTCATTCCACCACAAAGTGTCCCGTTCATGCTGGCGTTTTGTACCAGTTTCCCCACAAACTGTAGTTGCAGCGTTTATCAAAACGGTTTGTATCTACTCCAATCTGTACTGGCTTGCAATTGGTGGTCTAACTGTGTGGCGACAATCTGTTGAAATTTTTCTCGATGAATATTGCTTTTCAGCTTCCACGTTTTGATTTTCCGAGGCATTTGTTTAGACTTATGTTTTGACAGTTTGACAAACAGGTCTGCCACAACGAGTCTATGTTGGGCGACACATGATTCGCCATGTATAATTTTGACATTTTTGAATAGCCTTCGGTGCTGTTGCTTGACAGCGAAGAAATCAATTTGCGTGGCTTATGGCCTGCTTTTGTATGTTATGAGATGTTCCAACCTCTTTCTAAAATATGCGTTCAGTAAACAAAACCCGTGACTTTCAGCAAACTCAAGGATGCGGTTGCCATCTTCATTCCGTTTTCCATAGCCAAAACCGCCATGTGCGTTGTCAAAACCATCTGTTTTCTCTTCAACGTGGCCATTGAGATCGCCTGCAATCAAGATTGTTTCAGATTTTGTTATTGTTGAGATGTTGTCAGAGAATGCAGCCCAGAAGTCATTTTTCATCTTTTCCGATTCGGCTGTCTGTGGTGCCTATGCAGAAAAAATAGTCATTGTTTGCTTTTCAATTTTAAATTTAAATTAGTTTGATTCTTAATTTTATATAAAACGATTGCTCAGCTCGCAAAGATCTATGAAGCTCACGTGTGTATTATATACGGAAAGGATTTTTCAAAAACAGCATTCGTTACAGTTACCGGTCAAGGTGCGTCCGTTTTTTATTATTACTGTTAATGTTTAAGTTGCATTTTCTTTTCATAACGAAATAAATGCATATCTACGCAACGTCAAAAACAATATTTGCTTAAAAATTATGCATTGCTTGCTCGAAAATATGCGACTCCAAATTATGAAAGCAGTTAATTCAGTTAAAGTTTTTCACAACCTTTGGGTTAAATTAAATAAAACTTCTAATGTTTATAGTTTTAACATTGGTTAACGTGATGTAGTAAAATTTGTTTAGCATACTACGTTATATCAATGAAAAAGCTAAGAAATTTACTTTAGTTAAAAATGACGACTTTTTAGTAAATAAAAGGTTATTCCTTGAAATCCAATCAGTGGTATTCAACTGATCGTAAAAATACTACTATTAACCCTACAGTCAACTATTTTTTACTGGAGTAGAAGTTAACTGCTTTTGTAACTGGTGCCTGGTTGTGAGCTACTTTTCAAAGTTGTCCAATAAAAAGCTGTTCTGACATTCTCCATTTGTTAAATATAAAAAGAAAAAATTACAAAATGTAGTTTATATTCAATAAAGTAAAACATGTATGTTATATAACATGAAACAAACTTATAAACAATGGTATTCGTTCATAAATTTTGTCAAGAGAGATCGCTACAATTCATTTCAGTTTTGACTTTAAACATTAAATTTGTGCGTGATAGGCCGTGTGAAGAATGCACTGACCTGCCAATAAGCCTTTAGCATATATCGAACGCCCTTATTGACGTCACTGACGAAAGATTAAAGTTGTAAAATGAAAGCGTGTATATTGACTGAGTAGTCTGTTAATTAAGTGATATTATCCATTGATGTTTATATATGCTAATGCACCATTTTGAACGCCGAATCAAATGAAATCTTTTTAAAATATAGTTTTCTGTTCACGAATTTTATTTTTTAAACCTTCCTGCCGGACGATAGCCGAAATATCTTTGAATGGCATGGCATGACTTTCTTTCAAGTTTTAAACTTTGTTTTGAATATATCTTAATTAAACGTATCCTTATAACACGATGAAATTAACGTTAGCGGATCATTCCGTGTTGTTTGAATTAATATTTGGCATATAAATTTAATTTGTTTTCTTATCATACAAATTGATTTTAGGCATTTATCCTAGAATTATTTGGTGCAATGTAGATGATCACCGTATACCTCAGACTAATAATTGCGACGCTTGTTCGTTAGAAAGAAATGTAAATTCATTTGGTGATGGCAAACCATGCACTAACAATCTTTATAACGGTGATCCAAGTCATAAGGACAACCCATTGGCAGCGGACAGTTGTATCTGTTTCGGTTACAAATCAATACAGTTTGATTCAACTCCTGTGGGTAAGATGTCAACAAAGAACATCTATTTAGCTAACACTTCAAAGTTGAGTTTTAGTTCAAGATTTTAATGGATTGTAGCTTTGCATTTAATAGTTTTAAGTTTTAATAGTTTTAAATAATAATAAATTTAAATTACTGTTAACTGCTGTTAATTTACAAATTTATTTAAACAGGTAGAAAGCTGTTATCAGATAAGCATACTGCATTTTGAGAAAGAAATCACAAATTTAGATTCGGGCAGCTCAAAATTAACAAACAATTTGTTACATAATTTTGTTGCAGTTAGTAATGTAAAACAAAAACATAGAAATGTTTCGAGTTTGTGGAAGAGCTCAAATTGTACTAAGAGGGATAATTACTGCTGCGATGATGGTCCATATGAGCTGTTTGATATTGGGCTTTCTTGTGGTGTTATAAAACCGCAGTCGACTTTGAAGATTCCAGTAGATAAGTTTTTTTGTTTATTTATTTAAAAAATTTATTTTAACCATTAATCTATGATCAAATGATTTTAACTTTTTTTTGGCACGTTGAAGGGCATTTAAAATTTAAATAGGCAATGTGGAAATAAAAATAGTTTTGAGGCAGAGGTGATAACACTTTTTCAATTTTGAAAATGTTTAAGGAGAAAGACAAAAAATGTTAAATAAAAACATAACATGTCTAATTTATGTTTTGAAAACCAGCTAGTAAAAATATTTCAAATGTTACGCAAAGGTTTAAGAAATGATATTGTTTACGGAATCATTTCGAAGCATTAAAAAGGTTAAGAGTTGCACAGAGTAGACGGATTTTATACTTTTCATTGTTGGGAGGTGTAAGATTGTAGATATAAAATAGTTTAAAAGTTGAAATGATGATGAATGTGTATGTAGGTGGGGCAGTTGAACGATGGGTAGGAGTTCATTGTTGGAATATTGCTATACGACGATACAGATGCACCATTGTTTCAACAATTACTGAAAATAAATTATAGTACACTGATATGTTTAAGCATATTTATTTATATTGTGTTCTTATTTAGGAGATGTATACTTTATTAATATAAAATATGATCTATTACGAACAACAGGTCACTTTCAGACCAAATATGGTTGGGGAGAAATATAAAGTCACACTTATGAGCAGAGTAGTATCGATTAATGGTAATCAAACTCTATCAAAAGATACAATTGTTTGTAACGCAGAGAGCTTTGGTGAGTTCTTAAAGCAAAATTCCTTAAAAATATAAGTTTTTTTTACTTTTCATACAATGCGTTTAAATAGTTTGATTGAGAGTAAAAATTACATAATTTTTGGGAATATTGTCAATTATTGATAAAAAAGTGAAAAAATGCAAATAATTAACAAATTGATTAACTATTTTGGAGCATATCATGAATGAACTTCCGCATCGTTTTCGGTGGCCACTGCACTATCGTCAACAAGCATCAGGTTGCTCAGATGGTGATTGACGCTGAGCTGAACTCCTTCTCTTCCTTGAAAGACTTTCCGCATGATGGCATCAACCACTGTAATAGCGGCGAAACGACGTTTCTTTAACGAACGCCTGTTTTAATAATATTGAATTTGCACTCGTCTGTTTAAACCATCATAATACGCCTCTTTCAAGAGGCAGGATGGATTCGGCTTTCAGAAATTTCCACAGTGCCGATGTATGCAGATTTGAAATCTATGAAGAAATAACTGTACGTTGGCCAAGTCATATTTTTTCATCAGTTGATGGAGAGAAAAGGTTTGGTCAGTACAACCTGAACCTTTCTTCCTCTCGACTCATTTGTTCTCAATGTTTCTGAAGCCGTGACTATTTGATTTCATGAAGATTTTGCCTATGATCGAAAGTAGACTTAAGCCGCAGTAGTTTTTACACTCTGGGCTGTCGCCCTTCTGGACAAGGCTGAGATGATGATCGCCTTCTACCGATAACGTATGATTTTCAAATTTCATATTTTTAAATAAAAGGGTGAACTAATATCGCAATAGGACTTGTCCATCACCGATCTTGATGGTCACTACTTTACATTCACGTGTCGTCACTTCTTCACATTCGCGTGTTGTTAATATTTTTGAGCAGCAATGACTTTAATTTTCTATTGATAAAGGGAGATTAATTTGAGTTGTTGTTGATTGTAAGAATCACAACGACAGCAACATATTTCTTTAGCTTCTTCTGTCAACTCATCGTTAAAATTATTGCATACTTCCCAGGGCACCCCTTGACCACTTAAGGCTTGCTGGGGACTAGGGGCCATTGTTTTTCTTTGTGATGGCATAAGAGTAATTTGGGGAAAAATTTTTACATCCGGACACCCATCCTGACGACAACCACCAGTTGTAAGCTGTGGGCCTAGCCTTTTGCTCAAAAGCACGCAAGGCAGCGTGGATGCAGTTTTATGTCATGCCCAGGGCATTCTTCTCTAGTAAAAGTGTGTGTGCACATTATACATTTGCAAGAACCCATTTTCACTTCTTGTTATTGCAGCACAGTAAAACAACTTGACTAGCTGTACGCTCAGATAAAAATACCTGATTGCAATCAAATAAAAAAATTAACAAAACTTCTTTTTAATACAACGACAAATATTAAATTAAAAACTATATAATAATCTTTTTCAAATTTTTAAATATAAATTTTCTAAATTAACATTTTTAAAATCTCGAAAAATAACTGAACCTTTGATAACACGAAGTTCAACTTACTGAACTTACTTGGTTCAACTATTTTACACATTTGAAAATTGGAAAGATTAACAATTGAATCAGGTAACACAACCCTGGAGACATATTCAAACTGGACTGGTATTTTAGTAATTTCTATAGCGCTACGAATATTACTGATTTTATTGATAAAAAATGTCATAAAATCATTGGGAAAGAAATCGGTTATTATTGTTATTTTTAGATAAAATTTTGTCGAGGATATTCCACAATTTTTTCGGTTGTTTTTTAAACGAATCAACTTGATTAGACCAAAATTTGTTTCTTTTGGGAAAATGTTTGTATCTTTTCTTTTAAAACTAAGCGCCATGCATTTCGATTAAAATCATTCTTCATTTTCCTACACAATCGTTCAAACAAAAGGGCGGATGACATGAGTAGATTTGACATAACGACAAGGAGCAACAATATCCACAATCCTCACGATTTTAGAATTAAACAAATCTAACAGGGTATCTGCGGAAGATGAATTGAACGGCCCTGAAATAGATGAATCGACAACTAATGAACAAAATTGATTTTTGTCGATTTGATTCCATGAACGAGTAAGTTTCCATTTATTCTGAGGTGTGGGAACTGAAATAGGGAAACAAATTTTAACTAAACTGTGGTCTAAGTACACATTTGGTGGCTCAACGGAAAAAATTGTGAGGAAAGGTCAGAACTGGAGGCAATTAAATCTAATGTTCCAATTAAATCTAATGTTAATGTTTGTTCATTTATTCTATTTATCAATTGATATAAATCAAGAATTTCAAATAATTTCAATGCATTAGGGTCGTTCAAAAGTTCAACATGAATATTCACGTCTCCAACAAAAATAACATAATTTGCTAAAAGCAATATTTGGTCAGACAGATGATAACTCATCAAAAAACAATGATGATGGAATAGAAGACCCAGGACGATAAGTTGCGAAAACGACAATAGTCACTTTGCTGAAATAAAATTTTACAACTATAGCTCCAAACGTCTTAAATAAAGGCAGTGGAATTTTATAAAATTTAAAATAATTTTTAAAAAACACAATTATTCCACCACGGTGAGGGTCGGCCGGCCTCGAAAAATCTATGAACACAAAATCAGGTGGCAGAGTGGGTCTAAGTGATAAATTTTCGGAAGACCCATGCCAGGATTCCGTAACAACAAAAATATCAAAATTATTAGAGAAAAAATTGCGAACAGTGTTGATCTTATTCATAATTGACCTAATGTTCAACAAACCTAATTGTAATTTTAGTTCTGTGTCTTTTTTGGTAACTTCACGATCATTACCACCACCTTTATCGTTACCACTACAACCATCTCCGCCACCGCAAATACCACCATCATTACCACCATCGTTATCGTTACCACCACAAACGTCTCCATCACCGCAATCATAGCACCATCAGCAATACCTTCACCAGAAATCTTTTCGCCGGATGCTCTTTGAGTTTGACAATCCGCCACTTTCTAACCGTTCCCCTCACCTTGAATAAAAAACCCGGGCACGAGACTTTTCTTGATTTGGCTTCATCAATTAGTTTTTTTTAACTCCGCACGCTGATCAACTGTTAAATCATGACTGATCTATACTTTATCAAGATCTTCATACATAGTTTTTAATTTAAACGAAGTTTTTGAGACTAATTTTTTAATTGCAGAACTCTTCATTTTAATCAGCACCGGTCTAATTTTACTTTCTGCTTTTGGACCCAGTCTAACAATTCTTTTAATATCCTGATCCTTGACATCACTGGATAACTTTTTAATAATTCCTTTGACTCTATCTTTATCATCATCAGTTTCTTGCAAATTGAACATCATTATGTTATTCTCTCTCTCTTTCATGTCATTAACATTGGTTAAAGTTTTTTTTAAACACTTTTAACCTCATCATTAACAAGTTCAATATTTTTTTTCACTTCGCATCTGACAGCATCAGCTAAACTTTTGCTTAAATCATTTTTAAGGCTACATAGCTCAGTACTCAAATCAGTGCCATCGAATCTTTCCGTCTTATCAACATTTTTCTGAATTAAACTTTTGATAGCTTCAAGTTCACTCCTCAACAAAATGTTCGATTCTTAAATGTTGTCAATTTTAGTGTTGAGCGCATCATTGCTATCACGCACAGCTTTATTTAATGACTTTACGTCAGGAAGTAGTTTCATGCATTCATCACAATACCACTTAATATTAGACATGGAACTGATAACTTTGAAGGCTGATTTACTTATTCTGACACAGTTTTGGTGAAAAGCAAGCTGACATTGAAAGCACAGAATTGCCTCTTTATCCTCTACATTTCTAGAACATCGACATCCTTTAATCGACATTATTAATTTAAAAAGAATGTTTCCAAGTCAATTAATAAAATTATATTATAAATGTTTTTAGAAATTTACCAGTCCGCAAGAATAAACACAAAACAATACATTTATTACACACACACACACCCACACACACACACACACACACACACACACACACACACACACACACACACATATAGGTAATAAATTCTACCGATTTATTAGTGTTTTTCAACTTGTATTCGAATTTTTCAATTTGTCATAATAAATTGAGTCTGTTTAAAATTGAAGCTTTATTTTTATTAACAAATATTTTATCAAAATTATTGCAGATAGATCTAATTCGACGTTAAACCGTCATCCACAGTGCATTATTTATAAATTTATTAATTAGTATTATTGCAGTTTTAATATTATTAAAAATATATAAAAAATAAATTCTAAAAAGAAACATGATATTGTAATGAAAAATTTTAACAACGAAAATTTTTAAATAGTTTAAACGATAGTTTTCAAGGCGGCAAAAACAGCGTCAAAATTGTGAGGCGCGAAAATAATTAATTTATTATATTTATTATTGTTGTTTGTCGATCACGGTCTAAGCCGGTTTGCAGATGATTCCAGGGCTCATCTAAGTCCAAAGGATATCATCCAAAAAAGTCTCTAAGGATATGTGCAGTTCCAAGCAGAGCAGTTTTCTGAGCTTCTTCTTTCTTTGGTTTCCCAGATATTTTTTATTGTTGCATCCCCGTGTATTCCTAAATCTCCTACTACTATTGGTAAAACTTTACATCTAATGTTCCACATTCGTGAGATCTCAATTTCCAGATCTTTATACTTGCATCTTTTTTTTGCTTCTTTTGAAATAACATTCGTGTCAGTCGGTATCGATATTTCAATCAACAGGCGTATTTTTTCAATCTTATTCATGACAGTGATATCTGGTCTGTTGGCATTAATTTTTCTATCTGTAATTATCTGTGAATCCCACATTATAATAATTTGCTCATCCAGGTTGATCACTTTTGTCGGTTCATACTCGTAATATTTTTCATCTACCTTCATTTTCTAGTGGTTACAAATTGACCAGTAAATATATTTTGCTAGATTGTTGTGTCGCTTCATGTAGCTTGTTGGTGCGAGTGCTGAACATCCTGTAATTATATGGTTAATGTGTTCGTCCTCTAAATGACACAATCTGCATTTGCTATCTATTTGATTTTCAAGATTTTTTTTGATAATATTTCGTGTTAAGTACTTGATCTTGGGCTGCAATTATAAGACTTTCTGTTTCACCTTTTAATCCGGAAAATTTTAACCATCCAACACTAGCCATTGAATTTATATCTGGTTTTTCTAACTCTTAAAAGTATTTTCCATGCAACGGTTTATTGTAAACCTCTTCTATTCTTTGTCTTTCTAATTTTTTTAAAAATTTATCTATATTATTTGAATTATAATATGAGTGATGGGTGATGATATGATATAATGGGTGATGATATCGTTTTAACAGCCACGTCTGAGCAGAGTGCAGCACAGATGTTTGAAGATTGGAACACCAGACTGGCCGATCATGGATTCAAAGTCAACATCAGCAGAACCAAAGCAATGAACACTGGTGAACTCATCCAATCCACAGCTACTGGACGATGGCCCTGTAAAGCTGGTGTAGGTAACAATTCAATCAAGTGTCAGCAGTGTAACCAGTGGTGTCACAAACGTTGTTCAAAAATAATTGGTATTTTATCTAAAGTGTCCAATTTTGTTTGTCCTGCTTGTATCAATCCACAACAACAAATTCGAAATAGCACTGTTTTTGAAGCCATTAAGGTCACATCGTTTCAATATCTAAGGGGATGTTCTGGATTGTACTGGAACCGCTGAAGCTGCCGTTCGAGCACGCATACGTGCAGCCTGGAATAAATGGCATCTCCTTGCCTCTATATTGATGCGGCGTGACATCCCACTACCACTACGATCAAGACTTTATAAATCTGTGATACGTCCGGTGTTGTTATATGGAGCAGAAACATGGCCAATGACAACCAAACTGAAACAACAACTGCAACGAATTGACATGAAAATGCTCCGATGGATGCAACGAATTAGTCTGAAAAACCACATCAAATCCACCGAAATCCTGCGTCGTGCTGGTTTAGATGATATAAAGGACGAATGCCGGCAACACCGTCTGAGGTGGTTTGGTCATGTCAAACGAAGTGGAAACAGTGCCATAACTTTTCTTGCAGATGTTGAAGTACCTTTCACACGTTCCAAAGACTGTCCAAAGAAGTCCTGGTCGCAAACAATCGAGCAAGACATGAAAGCTCTAAATTTAAATGAAATGGATACAACTGATCGTCAAATTTGGCGCCAAAAATTGATGGCAAAGAAAACAACGTCCTATCTCGGGGAACTGGGTCTCTGGACGCTAAACGAAGATTGATTGATATATATATATATATATATTATATATATATATATATATATTATATATATATATATATATATATATATATATATTAAAAATTCAACACTACTTTCAACATTGTTCAACTTTTTTATATTTCTTTTTAATTTATTAAAATCAGAGAAATTAGACATTTTATTGTTTTTTAAAAAATTTTTATTAAATAAATTTGCAAATAGCTATTTCGAGTTATAAATAACTCATCTTCAGTGCATTATATATAAGGTATGTAAGATATTTGATATAAAGGAACAAGTAATTATTAATTTATATAAATTATTTAATTAAAACAGAACACCAATAAAATAAATTTAATAACTATAAACAATATAAAACGCGATTTTTAAAATTTTAACGGCAAGATTGTTTATATTATGGTTGTTAAGGTAAATATCAACGCTCAGCCGAGAAGCGCGAATTAATTTATTTAATTAACTACATATTATTAATATTATTTTGACAATATTTAAAAACGTTATTATTATTATTATTGTTAACGTTATTATTATTATTATCATCGCTGTGGTTCTTCTTGCTTCTCGTGATGATGTTCCATTTGCAAGTGATATTTGCGCTGTGGGTTGTGGCGTTGGTATCTACAGTGTTGGGACTGTTGTTGTTGTTATTGTTGATGTTGTTGTTGTTGATGTTGTTGTTGGTGTTGTTGATGTTGTTGTTAGGGTTAATTAAAACAGAACACCAATAAAATAAATTTAATAACTATAAATCAGAGACCCAGTTCCCCGAGGTAGGATGTTGTTTTCTTTGCCATCAATTTTTGGCGCCAAATTTGACGATCAGTTGTATCCATTTCATTTAAATTTAGAGCTTTCATGTTTTGCTCGATTGTTTGCGACCAGGACTTCTTTGGACAGTCTTTGGGACGTGTGAAAGGTACTTCAACATCTGCAAGAGAAGTTATGGCACTGTTTCCACTTCGTTTGACATGACCAAACCATATTTGCGCTGTGGGTTGTAGCATTGGTATCTACAGTGTAGAAACGTAGTAGCGTCAAATCCAGTTAATAAAGTTGTTCTTCGAATTTACTATCAAAATTTAAAAACATTCCAACTAATCATGAAAAATAATTGCCTTCTTGCAACTACTCAACTACAACAAAGTCATCTAATATATGAATATAAATGCTCCGTCGGTGAATGTTCGCACCGCAACAATGCTTCATATATTGGAATGACAACTACCACATTGTCAAGACGTTTGACCATGCATCTACAAGATGGAGCAATTAAACAACATTATCAACAACAGCATAACATCACTTTAACACGACAAATGTTAAATAACATGCAAATAGTTTATTGCAATAACAACATCACAAACCTGAAAATAGCTGAATCAATTTTCATACAAAACAAAAATCCCTCCATGAACATTCAAGTACAGTCTAACAACATTTTACCTTCAAATAGACTACTAAATAAAAACAACAATCATTATAATTATAACAACAACAATTACGACAACGGCAATAATTATAACAATGTTATCACCAACAATATTGATGATGTAAACAACAATCATACCAATAGTGACAACTTTAACAACAACATCAACAACACTAACAACAATATCAACATCAACAATAACAACAACAACAACAGTGCCAACACTGTAGATACCAATGCTACAACCCACAGCGCAAATATCAGTTGCAATTGGAACATCATCAATAGTGACAACCCTAACAACAACATCAACAACACCAACAACAACATCAACAACAACAACATCAACAATAACAACAACAACAGTCCCAACACTGTAGATACCAACGCCACAACCCACAGCGCAAATATCACTTGCAAATGGAACATCATCACGAGAAGCAAGAAGAACCACAGCGATGATAATAATAATAATAACGTTAACAATAATAATAATAATAACGTTTTTAAATATTGTCAAAATAATATTAATAATATGTAGTTAATTAAATAAATTAATTCGCTCTTCTCGGCTGAGCGTTGATATTTACCTTAACAACCATAATATAAACAATCTTGCCGTTAAAATTTTAAAAATCGCGTTTTATATTGTTTATAGTTATTAAATTTATTTTATTGGTGTTCTGTTTTAATTAAATAATTTATATAAATTAATAATTACTTGTTCCTTTATATCAAATATCTTACATACCTTATATATAATGCACTGAAGATGAGTTATTTATAACTCGAAATAGCTATTTGCAAATTTATTTAATAAAAATTTTTTAAAAAACAATAAAATGTCTAATTTCTCTGATTTTAATAAATTAAAAAGAAATATAAAAAAGTTGAACAATGTTGAAAGTAGTGTTGAATTTTTGAAATGTTGCGTTAACAACAGTCTGTTACCAAAATATATATATTATATATATATATTATATATATATATTATACATATATATTATATATATATATATATAATTTAGACTGTTAGAGATGCAATTATTGATGAAAATTACAGCATGTTCGGCGTTAGTTTCATCAATAATTTATATATATATATATATATATATATATATCAAATCAAATCAAATATTGTATTTATATAGCGCCAATTATAATTGCTTCTCATCAGCGCTCTCCTCATATGAAGCATGTTGGAAGCGAAGCCATCATCGGTTGAGATCACTAGGAGTTACCAAATAGGTATGTCTTTAGACGTTTTCTAAACTCAGCTAATGATAACCCAGATATACGTAGTTCGATAGGTAGGCTGTTCCAAAAAATAGGCCCAGCAACTGCAAAATCTCTATCTGCTGTTTTCAGATTCCGATCTCTAACATACAGCGTGTTTGAATCAGCAGACCTTAGACGCCCATGTGATGCCATAGATGAAACTCGAATACACTTATCTTCTAAATATTTCGGAGCCAGACCATTTAAACTTTTAAATACCATTACACCAAACTTGAACATGATTCTTTGTTTAACACGCAGCCAATGCAACTCCTTTATAATTGGTGATGCATGATCAAATTTTAATTTGCGATATATCATTCTAGCATCCTGATTCTGAACCATCTGAAGTTTAGACAACAGTTTATCAGCTATGCCATATAGAAGACTGTTACAATAATCCAATCTAGAGTTGACGAAAGCATGTACTAATAGAGTCATTGTATCTCTATCTACCGATTTTGTGACTTGACGTAATTGACGTAGTTGGAACATACATTTTTTAACCAATAGACTGACTTGTGGACCCATTGTCATACGGGAATCCATCACAATTCCCAAATTGGTTACCGTTTTACTGAAACTTATATCAGTCATGCTGATGTTAATCGATGAAGGTTCAACCGCTGACGTTTGGTGCCATGTACCAGCCAACATGAACTGAGTCTTAGTCTGATTCAACTTTAGCCTACTTTGACCCAGCCACGAGCCGACATCAGATATAGTTTTTGTCAGTTTCTCTAATACGGTAGGCATCTCATCTGGGAAACATGAAACGCAAATCTGCATGTCATCTGCGTACCCATGGCAATAATAACCATTTTTATTCAGTAAATCCAATATCTCTGCAACGTACAAATTAAAAAGAATCGGTCCAAGAACGGATCCTTGAGGCACCCCTGACGTAAGTTTCATTGGTTCCGAGAGACCACCTGAGTAAGAAATCTGCTGAGTCCGACCAGTAAGAAATGATTCGAACCACGCTAACGCAATCTTATTTAAACCATAACAATATTTCAGTCTGTCCAGCAGGATTTTTTGATTCACAGTATCGAACGCCGAACTCATGTCCAGGAATGTCAACAAAGTTACTTTTTGTACATTAACTGCTGAATAAACATGAGAGAATATATCCGATAGAGCTGTTTCGGTCGAATAAAACCTTCTGTATCCAGATTGATGCGAAGGCCAAATACTATTTTTATTTATATGATTATTTAAAACTAACTCAACGGAACGTTCAACAATTTTAGAAACGAAAGACAAATTTGACACCGGCCTATAGTTTATCAGATCTGATTTATCTAATCCTGTCTTCTTTAGAATTGGCGTGACAATTGCATGCTTGCAAACCTGTGGCATTACACCCTTCGTTAAGCACATGTTGATATGCTTAAGCACATATATATATATATATATATATATATATATATATATATATATATATATATATATATATATATATATATATAGTTAATTTCTATTTTTTATGTTTTTCTTTTCATAAGGACTGGAGCCAATATTTTCAACCAATACTATAGATTTTGGTAAAGTCTTGTTAGGCGAGGAAAGTTGCATGCGGATAAAATTGTCTAATAACGCAAATTGTTCATTTACATTCTGTGTAAGTCTGGATTTTAAATTCTACCAAAAAGAAATTTAAAATGTTGAATTCTCCCTTTTTATAGTTCCAGATTGATAATCTTACAAGCTGCTTTTCGATAAAACCTTGCAGTGGCGTCCTTAAAGGTTCATCGTCGATTGACATTCAAATAAATTTTCAAGGATATAAAGTTATGACTTTTTTCGCCAAAGTTCCTTGTGTTATACACAATTTCGTTAGTTGAAATTCAGATTTAATACAAGTTTTTTTTGTTGAAAATTGTTCAAGTGGAGCTGTGAGGCTGGTTTTTTCAAAATATAAAATTGTTCATTATTTTACATGGTTGAAATTTTCTTTAAATTGTTTATTTCTTACTTTTTAATCTTTCAAGGGAAATCGATTCTTGAATATAATGGCAACTTGTTGTGATGATCTTACTCCCAATAATAATCCAGTTTTAATCAATCAGTATCATTTACTTCGATATATTTCAATGCGGGAGCAAGGTTTAAGTTTTCTCAGTGTTCAAGTGAGATTTGAAATTATATTTCGTAAAGAACATTTTCGTACAAAAAATGACCATTACTTTTTCATTTTAGTCGTAAAGCCGAATTTTTAACTATTTTTTGTTATAAAAACTTTTCAGTGAACATGTTTTGATTAGTGGTTTGTAACGGGTTCGATATTAACTAAACGCAACGACAGATATATTATTAATCCTCCTTTATTAAAACCTAACTAAATAATTAATCGAATAAACCAAATTAACGAAAATGCAACGATACAATAACCAACTTTACTAATGTCGACTCCGGCACAAGAGCCGCAGAAAAGAAAGAGAGTTAACTTATTTGCGTAGGCTATTTATAGGCATGCACGGTGCTCTCTCCTAGGTAAGCGCTTGTACTTTGGTCTAGTAATCGACCCACGTGACCATACGGCGCTCTCTCCTAGGTAAGCACACGTGCTTTGTGCTAGTACTTATTCCACGTGATCATGTAATGGAACAATTTCCATTACAGTGGTTAAATCCATGAAATCAATGGTAAATCTTTCTTTTTAGATTCAATCAATCAATCAATTACAAAACCACCGAGAAAACGTGCCGCCATCATACTAAACAGGAACATGATTTGTACGCCAAAAAATAGCACATTTTTAAGTTTTAGAATATATCAAAATTGTATTGTCCGTAATATATATAATATATATAGGTGTAACCGCACTTAAAGGAAATGTAAAATTTATGTAAAATGTAAAATGTAAAAATTTCAATTTAAAATTATTTTTGTTTCTCACGAATATAACTTTGCAAGCACTATGGTGCTTGCAAAGCACAATAGTGCTTTTTCTCCAAATTATTCTTAAATAACTCATTTTCCCCAAATTATTCCTATGCCATCACTAAGAAAAACAACGGCCCCTAGTCCCCAGCAGGCCTTAAGGGGTCAAGGGGTGCCAAGAATCCCTGGGAAGTATGCAATAGCGGAGGGATGTTGCAGAAAAATTCAGAATGGCCCCTCTATGGTACTTAGACTTGGAACGCTCAATGTTGGATCACTGACTGGCCGCAGCATGGAAATTGCAGAAATGCTCGAGCGTAGAAGGATTGACATCTGCTGCCTTCAGGAAACCCGATGGAAATCGAATGGTGTCTGTCATGTCAACTCAGACAAAGAAAAATATAAACAATTCTGGAATGGTCAAAAGACGGCCAAAAATGGTGTTGGAATTTTTGTCAGAGAACCGCTAGCCCAAGAAGTACTGGATATTAAAAGGATTAATTCACGTCTCATGTGGATCAAGCTTTGCGTAGAAAAGCAAACAATGATTATTTTTTCTGCATACGCACCACAGACAGGCGAATCAGAAGAGATGAAGAATGACTTCTGGACTGCATTCTCTGACACCATCTCAACAATACCAAAATCTGAAACAATCCTGATTGGAGGCGATCTCAATGGTTTTGACAACGTACATGGCGGTTTAGGCTATGGAAAACGGAATGAAGATGGCAACCGCATCCATGAGTTTGCTGAAAGTCACGGGTTTTGTTTACTGAACGCATATTTTAGAAAGAGGTTGGAACATCTCATAACATACAAAAGTAGGCCATCAGCCACGCAAATTGATTTCTTTGCTGTCAAGCAATCACACCGAAGGCTGTTCAAAAACGTCAAAGTTATACCTGGCGAATCATGTGTCGCCCAACATAGACTCCTTGTGGCAGACCTGGTTGTCGAACTGTCAAAACATAAGTCTAAACAAATGCCTCGGAGAATCAAAACGTGGAAGCTGAAAAGCAATATTCATCGAGAAAAATTTCAACAGATTATCGCCACACAGTTAGACCACCAATCGCAAGCCTGTACAGATTGGAGTACATACAAAACCGTTTTGATAAACGCTGCAACTACAGTTTGTGGGAAAACTGGTACAAAATGTCAGTATGAACGTGACACTTGGTGGGGGAATGACAGTGTACAAAATGCAATAGCTGAAAAGAAAGTTGCATACAAGCAATGGCAAAAATCAAAGTCTGTAGATAACCATAAAATTTTCCGTGAGAAGAACAGCTATGCAAAACGTCAAGTTGCACTGGCTCGGACAGATCAGTGCAGAGAGTGGCTCACTAAAAGCTAAGGTGAACAAATGAAATCTCTGTATCGTATAGCAAAACAAGCAAAGCGCACGAAAAAAGACATAGTTGGTGCCTCATGTATCAAAAACGACAAAAATGATATGGTTCTTGAACAAGATGAGATCAAGCTACAATGGAGAGAATACTTCAGTCGTCTGTTAAACGAAACAAATCCCATCAATTGTTAACTTTGACACTCCACCCATCGAAGGTCCGATTCCAGACATCACTTTAGAGGAGCTTACAGAAGCTCTGAAAGCTATGAAGGATGGAAAGGTAGCAGGGCCCTCTGGACTCACAAATGACATTATCAAAGCATCTGGTACTGCAGGTATCCAAACGTTACTACAACTTTGCCGTGAAATCTGGAGAAATTGCTCAATGCCGACTGAATGGAACTATAGCATGACAGTCACGCTATATCCATTGAACTGTTCATCATATCGGGGTATACGTCTGTTAGAACACTCCCTGAAAATTGTCGAGAAAATCATTGAGAGAAGATTAACGTCGTGCATCACAATCGGAAATTATCAATTTGGTTTTCTAGCGGGGAAATCAACAATTGATGCAATTCACATCTTTCGGTACCTCGCAAAGCATCAACAACTATCACACATTTTTGTAGACCTTGAAAAAGCATTTGATCAAGTTCCCCGTGAAGCAATCAGATGGAGTCTACGTCGACAATTCATTTCAGAATATCTTATTTGACTTGTGATGGAAATGTCAGCACAACGGTTGGAAACACAGATGCATTTGACATCGACGTTGGAGTTCACCAAGGCTCGATTCTCAGGACCACATCAAATCCACCGAAATCCTGCGTCGTGTTGGTTTAGATGATATAAAGGACGAATGCCGGCAAAACCGTCTGCGGTGGTTTGGTCATGTCAAACGAAGTGGAAACATTGCCATAACTTCTCTTGCAGATGTTGAAGTACCTGGCACACGTCCCAAAGAAGTCCTGGTCGCAAACAACCGAGCAAGACATGAAAGCTCTAAATTTAAATGAAATGGATACAACTGATCGTCTAATTTGGCGCAAAAAGTTGATGGCAAAGAAAACAGCGTCCTACCTCGGGAAACCGGGTCTCTGGACGCAAAACGAAGATTGACTATAGTGCTTGAAAATAAATCGCTGGTAAAAATTTTATCAAAATGATGAACATTTTATTCATTATTACCGTTTTCATCCTTCGTTATTATATTGTCATTAACGCTGCAACTATAATTGCTATCATTGTATTTGTTGATATAGTCTGTTATTTTTTTTATCTTCCTTCATTTCATAAAAACCGTTGACCGTAGAAGTAATTTTTTTTGCATCATGCATATTTTTTTTATTGCCAAGAAGATTGTTTGTATTTTAAAATGCTACAAACAATTGCAAACATAAAATGATAAATATTCTATCATTTTATAAATCTCTGTCCCTATAGCTTCATTTAAATTTCTCTGAGATTTATCTTTTCAAATCTTTGAATAGTTAACTTAATCTTGGATGATTTCATCTTAATTTCAAACATGTTCTTTCAAAGAAAATGTCATAGCCAAAACTCTTAAAAGATTTAATGTGGTATAGTTAAAGATTTAATTGCAATGTTTCATAATAATTTTTTATCGATATTTAATTTCGAAGGTACTTTATTATTTACGGAAGCTGTTTTTGTAAATATTAAATAATTATTTGTAAATATTAAAAAATTATCAGCAACTGAGTTCAATGCTTGACGAGGGAGTTTTAGGCATCCATACCCAAAGTGGTCTTATCAAATTCCTCGTCGCAAACGTTAGAAGTTGTCTATTTTATGTTTTCTCAATCAATGTTTTGAAATAATAATAATTATAATAATATTAATAATAATTATAAAAATTGAAATGATTATAACTTGTAAATCATTTGGATCAAATTTTGTTGATTAAAATGATTAACATAGTAGTTGTCGATCGTTATTTATGCAACCGTTGTTGAAATTGAAAACGTTACATGATTCTATGTTCACCTGGCATTTTTTGATTGCTTTGTGCGGTTTATTATTTAATTATACGTACATTTTATAAAAAGATTTTTTGATAAATAAAATTCAGTTGGCTTAAATTACTCAAATAGTTACATAAAAATTTCCATTTGGTTTCGATCAATCAATCAACCAAACATTCAATCAACCAATCAGTTAATTTTTTATTATCTTTTTATTTATATAAACTTCGTATTTTGTTTATTAACCAGGCATCAACTTCATTCCAGCAGGAAATCCGCGGCACAGATGATGATGAATATTTTAATGATGGTCACAAAGAAAAATCGGTAAATAAATTTTGCAGTGAACGATTAATATCATTCATTGATATTAGCGCGAGAGATATTTTAATTGAAGACTGGGATAATGAGGCGAATGATGCAAATGATAACTTTCAACCAGACATTGAGATACCCATGCAAATGATAACTTTCAACCAGACGTTGAGATACCCATGCAAATGATAACTTTCAACCAGACATTGAGATACACATGCAAATGATAACTTTCAACCAGACATTGAGATACCCATGCAAATGATAACTTTCATTTCAGACATTTGGATATCCACGCAAATGATAACTTTCATTTCAGACATCGCTTCCTCACATGAGCACAAATGTTGACTTCATCGACTTCGGCTTTTGTTACCCGCAACACAAAATGAAAAAGGTTTATTTTTTCAATATTATGATTGAATAAAAGACTGTTAATTTTTTTTAATTCTCTGATGAGAAAAAGCAAGAAAACACCAAACAGTAAATAAACGAATGTTAAAAATTCGGAATAGTTCATAAATACTTTTATAACACACTCAATACTTTTCTAACACACACACACACACACACACACACACACACACACACACACACACACACACACACACACACACACACACACACACACACACACACACACACACACAAACACATACACACACACACAAACACATACACACACACACACACACACATATATATATATATATATATATATATATAGTTAATTAGCTAATTAGCTTCCTGTTTAGTTTTACTACATCTCGTAAAATCAATAGAGAGAAAGCACTTGCTTTCAAGTGCTCACAAAATCAAGACAGGACAACGACGTCTGTCTATGGATATAGAAACCGAAACAATGGAAGCGTGGTGTGACCCAAAAAGGAATAGCGCAGGTTTTAAGAGCAAAGACCTGGCTTGGTTATACAAACTATGGCACAGAAAAAGATAAATGACGTGATCTACAGGACCTATGATCATGGAAGAAAATGGACAAAGAGGAAAGTTGTCCATTAGAATAGATTATCCCTATCTACCGAAATAAAGAAGTAACGCTTACGTTAGGGATTAACAGGCTTAGGTAGGGATATGGATATAACCGCCTGATTGATCAAATTGCACTATATTTATTATTCGATTATTGTTATTTTTTGTATATTTGAAATCTTTGGATTGTGAACTATAGAGGGTATATAGAAGAAATATTGTATTTATGGTAAAAATCAAGACTTCAGTCAGGTTTACAGTCAGGTTTCCAGCAGAGAAGTCGTAAATGTGATTAATGTAGTTACATGAATTAGTTTATTGTTTCTATTACTGTTGGTATTCAAATAAACGTTCAACAAAGTTTACGTTTGAGTCATTTGTGTTCATCTATCGGAAGTCTTGAACCTACGAAATAACGATCACTTGACGATCGTCGGAAGCTACAACACTGCTGTTGGAAATATAGAGATCATTGAAATTATAACATTAGTGTTGGTAGTTACGAGAGTCAAGAGTTACAACTATATATTAGGGTAGCTCCAGATAGTACTTTTTGACATTCGGCCGGAGCCGGATATAGCCGGATAGTAAAAAGTGATATCCGGCGGAGCCGGATATTAATGTAAAAATTGCGCGTTTTACTAGGCAACTTGTATACACCAAAAACTGTTGTAATTATTATTATTTAACCTCTGAAATTATAAAACTAAAATATTTACAACACATTCATTTTAAGATTTTATTGACAAAACTAAAAATTGTTTTTCAAAAAGATATTATTTTATGATTGAATTAAATTTTAAAAATATTAGAACCGAAAATTAACTGTACAAAGTATATATATATGAACTATCCAGGCCAAATGTGACAAACATTAATTAACGCATGTCTACTTGTCTACTTTATTCATGTTAAAATAAATAAAGAGTTTAGATGTATATTTTACTATCTGGCCAACCATCCAGCCGGAGCCGAATATGGCCGGATAGCCATAGTTTGCCAGATAGTGAAAAATGGCGGGATATTCGGCCTGAGCTAAGCTCCAGTGCAACCCTAATATTTATATAACTTCAAATTTTTTAATAGCTTGTTCGTCGTGAAAATTTGCTTAAATGATATTTGGAGGAATGTATAACTGACTGATAACCATAACGAACGCTGTGTGAATCACATGAATACAGCTCTAGCTCTAAACTGAATGAAATGTAGCTGTAAATCAAATCAAAACAATGTTATTGTAGGTGCAAACAGCATGAACTTACTCCAAGTAAAGTGTGCTGTATCTGTTAATGATTTGGCAAATTAGTAAATTCAACATGTCAGCTGAATAATTTTAGAAGTTTCGACTGACTAACAAAATATTTTGGCTGA